TGCGTGCGTGTGTGTGCGTGTGTGCGTGCGTGCGTGTGTGTGTGTGTGTGTGTGTGTGTGTGCGTGTGGGTCGCCAGGCTTCGCCGCCCTCGTCGTCTTCCTCTCTGCCTCCTGGCACGCCGAGCAATGCGCATGTCGGTTGACCCGATTCGCCTCACGCCGGAGCGGGCTGCCCGTGCCTCGCCGCCGGCCGAAAAGGTCTCCAGGCTTGGGTCGGGCATGTCCGCCTACAGGCGGGTTTTCGGAGGAAGCGTAAGACACAGTCAGAGCATAGGCCCAAAGTAGTCAGAAGAGCACGACAAGTCGTCCCCCGACTGTTTTTTGACTAGCTTGGCTTTTCCTCCAGTAGAGGGACATGCCCGACGTAACTCTAGGCCTCCCAGATGGGATCCGAGTAGATGGGGTCGGAGGATCGCACCGCATCGCCGATGCATCGACGACGATGCGGCTCGATGCGGAGCCCGTGTTTCCCCACGCCGACGTCGCCGATGCATCGCCGACGTCGCCGATGCATCGCCGATGCATCGGCAATGCATCGACGATGTATTGGCGATGTGGGCGCGATCCTTCGACCCCACCTACTCGGACCCCATCTGGGAGGCCTCTAGCGTCGGGGCTCAAGAGACGGGGGTCGATGCAAACGGGGGTCAGTCAGAGCGCGGGATCTTGCAGGACCCTGCAGAGCCAGGGTCGCATTGACTGGGTTTGGGTGCAGGACCATGCAGGATCTTGCAGGCTCCTGCAAGGCTGACCTGGGTCTGGATTGACCCGGGAGAGTAGATCTCCGAGGGTACAGGGATCGGCGGTTTGCAGACGTTTCCGAAGGTCTTCGGACGCTTCCGTGGGATCTGTAGGGTGTTTTCTTGCCTCGCGATGCTAACCTGACCCACCTTGGCCTCCGTGGACCGCCGCCGATCAGAGAGAGGGTTCCCAGATTCCTTTCGGTTTCGGGGTTTCAGTTCGGTCGGATCTCGTCGGATTTGGTCGGCGTCTGGACGATCTTTGTGCGACATTTGGACCAGAAGGTGAAGGCTGGCGGTCGAAATCTGGACGACATCCAGTCGACAGCACGTTTATGATGAGTTTGCGGAGGTGTACAGCTGCTGCCATGAAGGCTCACCCAACGTCAGCCTTCGGGGACTCCACGATCGGATGTTGTTCAAGGTTGAGCAGACTGCGCGGTTTCAGGGGCCAGGGCCGAGCCGCTTCGTTTTTTCAGTCTTTGCTTCGCGGGAGTTCGCTTCGCCCAACAAACTCACCCGATTTAGCCCGCTTGTTTTGCTCATTCTTTTCCAGGCGCTCCTCATTCCACTCACTCTCCATCTCCCGCTTGTTGTGCCTATTGCTGTCGCTGGCGCAGTCGCTGCCGTTGTCACTGTGAATGTCGCTGTCTCTATCGCTTTCACGGTTTCTCGTTCGCACACCCCGATCACTTCATTTGGTCGGTTTGCCTCGCTCTTTTTTCCGCATTTCCAACGTGCACTGTTCGCTGTACTGATTTCGATCACTCGTTTACTTTTTCACTCCTCCCTTCAGTCCAAACCAGGTACCCAGTCAATCCATATGTCCACATATTTCACTTGCCCAGCTCACTTAACTCATCGTGATCATCTGGCTCGTCTTGATCATTCATCATCTCAGCATGTTAGCAGCACATTCAGTATTTGCTCACCTTTCTCAGTATATTTATCGACAATCCCAACACGACATCATAAACACAGGCTTTCGTGGCCGGTGCGGCTTTATCAGATCGGCGTTGTCTCTCGCTGGCCATACCAGCGCGCCCCGCAGTGTGTAGCTTTTAGTTGTGTTGCCTCATTCCACCCGCTCCGTTGATGTCACTCCTTTTCTCTATCTGTCACTTCTGCCTCCACCGCCATGGCCACCATCCTCCTCCCCCGCCTGTCCCGCCATCTCAGGGCGTGCCGCTGCCATGGGTGCCCATTCGTTCAAGGCAGCGCGCGAGGACGCGATCGAGACTTCCACCGCGCTCGCGGGGAAGCTGGCGGTTTCAGGCAGCCTGCCGTTTCTCCTACGATTGGAAACAGGAGACACAGAACAAAAAGAGAGAGAGATAGACTGAGGGAGAGAGTGAGAGAGAGAGAGAGGAGAAGTGGGAGGAGGAGGAGGAGGAGGAGGAGGAAGAGGAAAGATAATGATAAGGAGGAACATAATAATAAACATAATAATAATAAGACTAATAATAAGGATCATGCTAATAATAATAATACTGGTAATAATAATAAGAAGAATGCGAATAATAATAGTAATAATAAGAATAATAATAATAGTCATAATAATAATATGAAGAAGACGAATAATAAGAATAAGAATAAGCAGGTCCGTCCAGATGTCTGTGTCTGCCTTGGGCCCGCCTCGTCACAGCCCTTCCCAGGCGCACCAGGGGCAGCGCTGGACCGCCCGGAAATTTGGGAAGGGGGTCTGGCGCCACCATCAGAGATCCGCTCGGACCTCCGAGTGATGATGCCCATGCCGTTTTGTTGGGCCTTTCTGCTGTGAAGGGCTCAGACTGGAGCTGGTGGTAGCTCGGGTTTCGATCGGGCAATCTGCCAAGGTCAATCGCATGGTGTGAGGAGGTGTGGGAGGAGTAGGAGGAGGAGGAGGAGGAGGAGGAGGAGGAGGAGGAGGAGGAGGAGGAGGAGGAAGAGGAGGAAGAGGAGGAGGAGGAGGAGGAGGAGGAGGAGGAGGAGGGAAGTGACGCGGCTTGACAGACCGCCATAGGTCCTCGAGGTCCCAATAGGTTCACGGAGGTCCCCGAATGCGTCTGGAGGGTAGAATGGGTCAAGACCCGCGCATGCTTTGATTCTCCATCTTCGATCTTCGAAAAGAGGAACCCATGTGGAGAAGGATCAGGAGGAGGCGGATTCTGATGATGATGATGATGATGATGATGGTGGTGATGATGATGCTGATGATGATTATGCTGCTGATGATGATGACGATGATGATGATGATGCTGATGATGCTGCTGCTGCTGATGATTATGATGCTGCTGCTGATGATGATACTGATGATGCTGATGCTGATGATGCTGATGATGATACCGTTGATGATGATGATGATGCTGCTGCTGATGATGACGATGAGGATGATGCTGCTGCTGATGATGATGCTGATACTGATCATGATGATGATGATGATAATGATGATGATGCGGATGATAATGATGATGATGATGATGATGATGATGATGATGATGATGATGATGATGATGATGATGATGATGATGATGATGATGATGATGATGATGATGATGATGATGACGATGATGATGATGATGATGATGATGATGATGATGATGATGATGATGATGCTGCGGATGATTATGATGATGTTGATTATGATGATGATGATGTTGTTGTTGATGATGATGATGATGATGATGATACTGATGATGATGATGATGATGATGATGATGCTGATGATGATGATGATGGTGATTGTGATGGTGATGATGCTGGTGGTGATGATGATGCTGATGATGATGATGATGATGACGATGATGCTGATGATGATGATGATGATGATGATGATGATGATGATGATGATGATGATGGTGGTGGTGGTGGTGGTGGCAATTATTATTATTATTATTATGATGATGATGATGATGATGATGATGATGATGATGATGATGATGATGATGATGATGAGATGATGATGATGATGATGATGATGATGATGATGATGATGATGATGATGATGCTGATGAGACGGAGGAGGAGGAGGAGGAGGAGGAGGAGGAGGAGGAGGAGGAGGAGGAGGAGGAGAAGGACGAGGAGGAGGAGGAGGAGGAGGAGGAGGGAGGAAGAGGAGGAGGAGGAGGAGGAGGAGGAGGAGGAGGAGGAGGAGGAGGAGGAGGAGGAGGAGGAGGAGGAGGAGGGAGGAGGAGAGGAGGAGGAGGAGGAGGGAGGAGGAGGAGTAGGCGGAGGGGGAGGGGGATGGGGCAGGGGGATGGGGGTGGAGATGGATGTAAGGGGCGAGGTTTTACAGGTCCTGGAGGTCCCAGGAGGTCCACGGTGATTCCCGACTGTTTCTGGAAAGCAAAAGGGGTCAAGACGCACGCATGCTTTGATTCTCAATCTTCGATCTTCGAGAAGGGGAAGAAGATGTGGAGAATGATCAGGAGGAGGAGGAGGAGGAGGAGGAGGAGGAGGAGGAGGAGGAGGAGAGGAGGAGGAGGAGGAGGAGGAGGAGGGAGGAGGGCAGGAGGATGGGGAAGGGGATGATATTAGAAAGGGGGGTAGATGAGGATGAGGATGAGGTTGAGGGGGAGGAGGAGGAGGAGGAGGAGGAGGAGGAGGAGGAGGAGGAGGAGGAGGAGGAGGAGGAGGAGGAGGAGGCGGAGGAGGAGGTGGAGGAGGCGGAGGAGGAGGAGGAGAAGGAGGAGGAGGAAACGGAGGAAACGGAGCAGATGGGTGAGGGATTCGGAGGAAGGAGAGAAACGAGAGGATGGTCATTAGGAGGTTGACGAGGAGAGTAGGAACAGGAGGATGGGGAGGAGGAGGAGGAGGAGGAGGAGGAGGAGGAGGAAGAGGAGGAGGATGAAGCGGAGGACAAGGAGGAGGAGGAGGAGGAGGAGGAGGAGGAGCCCTGCCTCTCCTTCGACTGGGCCAGTCTTTTGAGGTGCTCCTCTTATAGTTGTACGTCAGTTGCTCGTGGAGTGACCAGGCGCGCATCGGTCACCGAGGCCACCGAGGAGGAGGAGGAGAGAGAGGAGAAGGAAGAGGAGGAGGATGAGGAGGAGGAGGGACGAGGATGAGGAGGAGGATAAGCAGGAGGAGGAGGAGGTTGACACGGAGAGGATGGGGATGGGGAGGAGGAGGAGGAGGAAAAGGAGGAGGAAGAGTCGGAGGAGGCGGACGAGGCGGAGGAGGAGGAGGAGGAGGATAAGGAGGAGTAGAATGAGGCGGAGGAGGAGGCGAAGGATGCGGAATGGCTTTGTGGGGGTGCTGCGGCACCGGCCATCCGAAGAGCCTTTCCGCATATATGAGCCGACCAGATGAATGGATAGAGACGACTGGGGATGATGATGGTGGTGATGATGACGATGATATTTGGTGCCGGTGATGATGACGACGATGGACGGTGGTGGTGATGGCCTGGGATGATGATGGCGATGCTGGAAATGACGACGAGAAGGCTAAGGGTTATGATGTTGAGGGTGATATTGAACATTATGTTGCTGATGATTTTATGGGTGTTGAGGATACTGCTGCTATTGGTGACATACGTGATAAGATAAGTTGTCGTATTGCTGATAACAGTAATCATGATTCTGGTGATGCTGCTGGCAATGGTGATGGTCATGGTACTGATGCAGCTAACGGCGACGACAATGGTGCTGATGATTATGGTCATGCTGATAATGGGGATGCTGCTGCTGACGATGATGATTGATGATGCTGCTGCTGATGATGATGATGATGGTGATTATGCTGCTGCTGCTGCTGCTGATGATGATGATGATGATGATGATGATGATTTCGACGATGACGATGATCATCATGGTACTGTTGATGATGACGATGGCGACGATGATGACAATGCTGTTGCTGCTGATGATGATGATGATGATGATGATGATGCTGATGTTGATGCTGATGCTGATGGTGCTGCTGATGATGCTGTTGGTGGCGATGCTGGTGGTGATGGTGATAAGTCTGCTAATGATGATGACGATGATGGTGATGATGATGATGATGATGATGATGAGCTGATGCTGATGCTGATGCTGATGATGCTGCCTGCCACTGATGATGCTGATGCTGGTGATGCTGCTGCTGATGATGATTCTGGCGATGAAGATGCTGATGAGGATGCTGATGATGATGATGATGCTGATGGTGATGCTGATGATGCTGATGCCGATTCTGCTGCTGCTGCTGATGATGATGTTGCTGATGATGATGTTGTTTGTGGCAAAGCTGGTGATGCTGTTGATGATGATGATGATGCTGATGAGGATGCTGATTCTTCTGATGATGCTGATGCTGATGCTGATTAGGTTGATGACGACGATCGTGATGATGAGGTTGGTGCTGCTGCTGATGCTGCTGATGATGATGATGCGGATGATGATGATGATGATGATGATGATGATGATGATGATGATGATGATGATGATGATGATGATGATGATGATGATGATGATGATGATGATGATGCTGATGCTGATGCTGATGCTGATGCTGATGCTGATGATGATGATGATGATGGTGATGATGCTGATGATGCGCCTTTTGCTTGAGGAGGAGGAGGAGAAGGAGGGAGAAGGACCGCAGCTATTTTGGCTCAAGCCAGTTTGACCCAAGTTTGAAATCCGTGTCGCGGGGCTTCGAGCGTGTGGGTTTTGCCGTTGTGCGACAAACATCGAGGGAGGCGCCCGACGCCTTCTCTCCTCGCCCCTGTGCAGGTGGAAGTCCGTCCTTCTGGGGTCCCGCAGAGCCCCCCAGTCTCGTTGGTTGGAATCCTCCAGTCTTCGCCAGGCTGCCCCATGGACGCGCGGGGCCGGCGGCACACGGGGAATATTTTGCCACGAAGATGCAGTGCCGATCGAGCTTTGCTCCCGCCCCGAAGCATGTGCAACGTGGCACCAACAGGCCGTTTCGGTCTGGGGCGCGCCGCCATGGCAGGCCCGCGCCGTCTCCGCCGCCCAGGGGGGGCAAGCCCGATGGCGGCGCGACGTTGACGGTACTGCACAGCGAACGTCGCGAAGCGCTGCACTATTGGGGTCGGAGAAGCGAGACGTCCAGATCGAGTTGGCGGCGCCATCGTGCCAGCCTCCCGCATCGCGTCCAGTCGGTCCTCGGCGAAGAAATATATATATATATATATATATATATATATATATATATATATATATACATATATATATATTCCTGCTGCAGGTGCACCCCCGCTTCGTGTGTCGCGCGGACGCGCGCGCCGCCAACGACGCGTTGTGCGCCTCCGGGCAGGAGATGCTGGGCGTGGCTGGATGCGCAGACCAGCG